ATGAGAATAATGTTGACAACACACCAGTGTTTTGGTTATTGCTGAGTAGTGCTTACCCTAAGCCAAGGACTTCTCCATTTCCTATGTTTTGCCAGTGAGGAGGTGCACAAAAAGCTGGGAGGGAGCACAGCCAGAACAGCTGACCTGAACCGGCCAAAGGGAGATTCCATACCATGGAATAGTCGTGTTCAGTGTATAAACTGCAGGAGTTGGCCAGGAGGGGCCAATTGCTCTTCAGGGACTGGCTGGGCATTGGTCAGCAGGTGGTGAGCAGTTATATTGTGCTTCACTTGTATTTCTTGTGTTTTATTTATTTCTCTCCTATTTTCATTAGATTTAGTGTTATTATTAACATTTTTATTATTATTATTATATCTTACTTTATTTAAATTATTAAACTGTTCTGATCTCAATCTATGGGGTTTACTTTCTTCCAACACCCCCCCCCCCCCCCCAATTCTCCTCCCCATTCAACCTGGGCAGGGAGTGAGCAATCAGCTGTGATACTTGATTGTCAGCTGGGATTAAACCACAAAGCCCTACAGGAGACCTTGGCTTTTCAGTCTCTTCTGATCAAGTTAATAAATACATGAAATAAGACTTAATTGAATGTTAATGTTTACTCAGTAAAGGCGTGATTTTCTACAATGTTAAACTAGGACTTAATGTCTTTTCAGATCTAGTTGTTTAAAAAGCCTTCATCAGCACATGCACAATGCTTTTGTTACTTGCTAAAACTTATTTGGGAACAGGTTGCACAGTAGTTGTTTCATCTGTGACAAGCGAGGCAAATTCCTTTTTTCAGGTTTGTTCTTTCTCAAGGCTTATTTGTTTAGGTTCAATCGTTCCCTCCTTTAGGAAGACCTGCCAGCAACTGGGTTGTTTTTTTGGTTGTCTTTTTACCCCCCCATCTTCTTCAGCTCTCATTCTTCACATAAGATTGGTCAATTTGCTCAGTTCCACCTAAGGCAACCTCTCTACAATCAGACCGGGCAGCTTGCTCAATTTCAAGTTAAGCAACATATGCACAGAAAACAAGCACCAGTATTCTTAAGTGTTCAAACTTCCGCATTTCTGATTCAGTGTTTTAGATAACATATGCAATAACAATATCTGATGATGAAAAAAGAACAGGTTGGAAGTTGGATGTCCAGTAAGAAGCCCCATGTTCACACCTGTACACAAAGAAAGTGATGAGAATTCTACTCAGCACCATTTCCAAACTAATGTCAGCAACTCCATTTCTGGAACACCTCCGTAACAGCTAGTATATGAGAAATAGTAATAGCTGTTGACAGGAGAAGTGATATTTCTGTTAACATCATATTAGACAAAAAGCACATCATAGCTATATAAGAAAGGAAAATGATTCAGGTCCACCACTGTATCCTCTCATAATTTCCTTCGGGCTCTCACCCCTCATGAAAGCTGCATCACTAAACATTTTTCAGCACATTCTCATGTAAAAATAAAGATTTTGACATTTCTTCCTCTAAAAGCTAGCTGAAACACCATTTAACCTATATTGCTACCCCACTAAGGTCCTTCTAAAAATTTAAGTTAAGACTCCTAAATTAGCAACTGTACCCTCTATTTTACTTCTGTTAAATCATTGTGAAGTTTTTAGCAATTAGCGACTGAAACTCTTGTCTAAAACAGCAGCACAAACTCAAATATATTTATATACTTAGAAAATACATTAACATCCATCAGAAAAATCCATCACCTGTTACCACACAAATATTTTTTCCCCTAAACTCAGATATGAGCATTAGTTTATTATTAATCCTTAAGTAGACGGCTTCAAAGCATGGAAACAGAGGGTGTGGACAAAATAGTTTGAATACTGTTACATTCCAGTGGCTTTCCAAAAGCTTTCAACAGAATGTAGAAAAGTAACATCTTGGATGTCTTACCTGTTTCTTATTGCTGTTACTGAAATACAAAAGCAATTAGGATGACCTCAAGGTTTTTTCAACCCCAAATGTCAAAATGTTTATATGCAAAGCAAACAGCTTCCATACAACTTCATAAAACATTTAAGACTGTTAACTTCAGGCTTAGCACCTCTGTTTTCAACCACAACATAAAAAAAATTAATATGGAACTTTAATCCAAATGAATTTCATTCAACAGATTAAGTGTCATTGTACGGCTTCTGAAAGACTATGCTTCAAGTCCTCTAAAATCTGTTTAAATCTGTTCTGCTAAAGAACATTACATACAGTTTCTCATGCAAGTTAGTATCATAGCCATCATAGTTTTGTGCTACATAAAACTTAACAAGAGAAAAGCTGTATAATTCCATAGTTGAACTCAATCAAATTGGTTAAGTATTCTATTCAGTGCTTCACACCTATCCCAGATGAACTGAAGAAGGCACATTTCACCATGTGAAAGGAGGCCAAAAAAAGAATCCCTAGGAGGACTTACCAGACCATCAGTTAAATATGGATATGTAATACTGCCAGACTGTTTCACGTCTACAAAGTCCCTTTCTCGAGCTCCTTAGTGGGTAAACTACCAGCAGCATCAAGTTTCTAACAAACCACAGGACAGTCTGCTAAGGTAGTGTTACTGAATATTCTCCCTGTGAACTTTGATCCACATAATCAGTGCCCATCATTTTTCCCACCTTGTATAACTATTTTCACCTCTGTGAAGTGTGTAACAGTGCTAAAAGCTTCTTGGAATTTTCCATCTACCTAGAGAAGTATAAAAGGCAGAGAAAAATCACATTCCTGGACTGCAGTTACAGGCGGGGGAAAGGAAAAAAAAAAAAGATAAGTCAGCGAGACATGCTGTGATGACTTGCAAGCAAGCATGACTCAGAGATTAGCAATCATTGATTACCAGTGGTATTACTTATAAAATTGAACAGATAAAAATACATGGAAATGAACCAAACTCACACCTGAAACTCAAAGCTGAACTCCCGTAACTTTGAGCTCCCACGCTGATGGTACAAGAAAAGCATTTAGAGGCTGACTAGAGTAAGTGGTTTTATTGCTTAGAATATCTACATAGCCATCTTAATGGTATTTATTTAAATGTCATGTATGTAAAGTTTTAGGAATAAAACACCACAGACAACAAATCAAATAGCAGCATGAGGAAAAATATAAGACCTTTTGGAAAAACACTGCAGATCCGGGGTTTGGTTTTTGAAGCGTTTTTATGAAGAGGCTATCTTTATATTGTTTGTGATTAAAAATAAAAAACCCCACAGTAAATTATTGATAGATAAGCAGACTTTAACATTCCTGCTTGTTTATCACAGCCTTCCTGTAGAAGATTCCTTTGACAGATGGAAAAAGGATCATGGAAACTATGTTAAACTCACTCAGCCTTCCAGTACACTAGTGCCAGTGCTCTCAATTTTCTTCTACTTCTTTTCTGTAGTCACTCATTTTCCTGACACAAAAAACTAATATCTAAGAAGAATATATGATACCATTTATATTAAAAAGAAAACTGAGGAAAGTACTTCCAAGTAGCTAGAACAGATCAGTAAGCATATGCAGAAGAAAAATATCATCTCGGAAGACCATGTTTACCTGAAACGGTTCCTGGGGGAACAAACAGCAAAGCAATACCTATGATGTTCCGACCTCTCCTCTCCAACTAGTTAGGAGGGTACCCTCCATTTCCTATAATTCAGTATTTGCTAGAATTCTCAGGCTTTCATTTTATCAGGCAAATGAACAACAATGGAGTTTCATCTTTTCTAAGGTATTTTAAGCTTATGAAGAACAACTCGATCAAATAAATAGTAAATGCTAAAGTAGCTAAATACTATAGACTAGCTTGAATAATGCTCTTCCAGTTGCTGGCAAGTACAGGGATTTTCACTTTTTTTTAGTTAACCACACCTTTATGGTTTAAATGCCACTTAGCATTCATTCTGAATAACCTTAAGGCAACTTTAGCACTAGCCTATGAAACAAATAACACTTGGGAAAAACATTTACTATACAATGAGACCTTTTACGGGCTTAAAACAGCTGTTGGAGAGAAATTCCAGCACCAGACATTGAGAGAGACGACTCTTCAAAACCCAGCGAATTATCTCTGCCCAAATGCAATCCTGCGGATACAAAAAGCACTGCTTCCCTTCCACCCCACCGGGATCTCGTTGCTCCTGCCAGCTACTGGCAGCGGGGAGCGAGCCGAGAGGCGTTTCCCAGGTTTCCGCAGGCCTGCCAGACATGTCCGGCCCCGGCGGCTGTGGGCGGCGGGGTCCCGGCCCAGGGACTGCCCCCCCGGCCCGAGGCCCTGCGAGCGGCCCCGCTCCGACCGCCGCGGCACTGCCCGCCCCGCCGCGCTCACAGCCCCGCACTCACAGCCCGTCTCCTTCTTGATTTCCTCGATCTCCTCGTCCCGCAGCAGTGTGGACGCCCGGGAACCCATCGCGCCGCTGGGCCCGAGGGGGAGGGAAGGGAAGGAGAGAGTTACGCAGCCGAACAGCAGCGACGGCGGAGTCACAGCCACCCCCGGCACAGGCCCGACCGCGGCCGCCCCGCTGCTCTGAGGCGGAAGGCGAGCGCGCTCCGCCCGTCGCCGCCCCGCTGTCACCGCTCCTGTCACCGCTCCTGTCACCGCCCCGCCCGCCGCCTCCGCCCGGCCCGGCCGCCTCGTCCCGCCTCCGCCCGCCCTCAGCGCCCGCCCACGGACCGCGCGCGCACGCGTGTGGAACCCCTCTGGTGTGGAGGGGGGGAGCGGTCGCTTAGGGTAACGCCTTTGTTGGTGTTTGTTCCTGGTTCATAGTACTGCTGAGTCCTACGGTCTGGCTTTGTTTTGCAAATCACAGAACCGGTCAGGTTGCCAGCGGCCACAGCGGGTTGTCTGGTCCAACCGCTCTGCCCAAGCAGGGTCATCCCAGAGCGCGTGGCACAGGATCGTGTCCGGACGGTTCTTGAATATCTCCAGTGAGGGAGATTCCACAACTTCTCGTCGTGCTTGCTGCTGTCTTGTCTTCTTTCTCCCTGTTAAGTAACCCTAAGTTAACACATATTTGAATAGTGGCAGCTCGGTAGCAGATTCGTGTGTTAATCTTTAAAATATACAATTTTAGGTACAAGACTCTGCAGCTACATTTAAAGGCTGGTCACAAAGTGGTTTTATGTTTTATTATATTGACATAGCGATGGACATTATTTGAGCTCTGTAATCATAATTGAATATTTTTATATCAGCATAAGGAAATTTATACTAAGAAGTCATATTTCCCAAGTATTCTTGATGTCAGGCTGCCCTATTGTAGAAATTAAGCACTCTCATATGTGACGTCTTTCAGTCAGGCGAATGCTTGCATACTTTTTTTTTTTTGGTCCTGAAATGCTACCATTTTTTATGATTTTATAACCTGTGTTTGATTACAGTAAATTTTCAGTGGAGGCAACTATTTTACATATTGGTGAACTTGCATAATTGCCCTCCAATTACAGTAACTTAATTAATAATTACAGTAATGGATCAAATACGATTGAATCAATATAAATACTTACAGATATTTAAACTGTATGGTTCTTGGGCTCAGGTCAGGTACTTCATTCTTTGTACTTTGAACTCTAGTTTACCTTAAGATTGTTGCTGACCTTTGCAGTGAACACCGCTTCAGGTTCTGCTTTCACCCTTTATTTTCAGAATAAATGTGAAATTTTATCTGAAATAAAGGCACTTTTGTGCAAAATAAGCTTTTTTTGGTGCAGCTTCAGGATCTTCTTAAAGAGCCATGCACATAGCACTAAGAGGTTGCTTCATATGCAGCAGTTCATTTTCTGAACACAGGTGGGGGTGTTGGATGAAGTATTTTCCTTTGCACATTTTATCAGCATGGAAGTCTTAATAATGTTATGACGTCTGTGTTATGTATGGTTGCCTTGCTCCTTCAGGTGCACTTCAGCTATTGAAGAGAACAAACAAGCAGACACAGGCAGCAGATTGTGGCCCATGGAGTTCTCCTTGTATCTCCTTAGAGAGCCATCTCAGAGCCTCAGACAGCTCAAAATACTGCCTCTCAGGTAATGTGGATATTACTCAAGCAATGTAGTTAGTCTTTGTCAGATAATGTCTTTCCCAGATGCTGTTATCTCTTGGTTTGCCTGTATCAGAACAGGATGTATACTGAAAAAACAATGGTCACAGAAAGGTAGGTACAGAGCTCCTTATCTGCAGACATCAGAAGGAAACTCACCTGCTTACTAGAACGTTTATCCTGTAGCTCTTGTCCACTGTAAAAGTGGCTGAGCAGCACAGCTTATCTTCTGGAGAAATCAAAGTGCTTCAGCCAGTGAGAATTTCTCTCTGGTGACTGTTTTAATCTTATACTTGTTCCTGAAATGTATGTGGCATGACAGATAACACAAAGCTCAATAAGACTATTGCTCTTTGGATCTGTGCTGGCTGTCAAGTGCTTGCATTAATTTGGACATGGGGTTCCTGCTGTAACATATACAGGTGTGTACATATACAGGTGCAGATCCAAAATCAGCTTGTTTTGTTCTCATAGAACTGTGACAAGAGTACAAGACCTGTATAGGCTAAAGAAAGGTTAGTTGCATTTAACTGGGTAGAGGGGGAGAAAATAGAATCATAGAATGTTTTGGGTTGGAAGAGACATCAAAGGCCATCTAGTTCCAGGGACGCCTTCCACTAGACCATGTTGCTCAGAGCCCTGTCCAGCCTGATTTTGAACACTTCCAGGGATAGGGCATCTGCAAGTACTTTTATGTAAAATACACACAGCACTTTGGTAGTTTTACAATAATCTGCTGTTTGTACATTCTCCACAACTGAGATGCTAAGTTACTCAGCTATTTCACTGTCCATTCACTTTTATATTTAGCAATTCAAATACCAAAATCACAGAAGTAACAAAAAATGAGCAAGGGTTGATGTGATCTGTTTTGTCTTTGCAACAGTCTTTCTCGTTCTCTAGACAAGGCTGGAAATTAGGGTGCTTTTTTTTTTAAATGGATGTAATTTTTTTAACTGACACATTTTTTTTCATTTGGGTATCATGATGACAAAAGGTAATGCTGCAACTCACTTTTAAACAGCCAGTTTTTTGTTAAAAAACAGAATTGGGGTCATGCTCTAGACTGTACGCATTTGAATCAAACAGTTCAAGAATCCGGGTGTGTTTAGGAAGAAAAGAGGGAAGAATGACTAGCCCAACCAGAGAAGTAGAGTGATTCTACATCTAAAATACATACCTGGTGCAAAGTGCATTCAAGTTAGAGGAAGTGTCTAATGATTTTCTTCCCTTCATTTTACAGAAGAAGGAAGAAAAGAATGCGGAGTTCACAGTTGTTGATTGTTTCCAGCAGAAATTTGGCCCTGCAGTAAGTACTAGTGAAAGCTCCTTATGCCATGTATATGACTTCTAGGCCAGTTCTGTTCTAATTGTCAGTACCCTTTGTCAGACTGTGGTGAGATTTGAGTAATAGGTAAATGGCTTCTTTAAGTCATGTAGAAATGCTATCTTTGGTGCGAGATTGCGGTGGATGTGTACAAATCTGCATCAGTGTGTGTTGGCTGCTGGTTTCAGACCCTATATCACCAGTAACTGAGGTGAAGAGTCAGTATTACTATTTAGTGAACACTTATTTTGTTTAGGAAAGGAGCAACATGAGAACTTGTTGTTATTTGGACAGGAAATTGTGTTGGTTTTGCAGGTGTTTGGAACTCCAGAGATGACTGGAGATGACTGGACCTTTTTCTCTTAAATCATGTACAATAAAAAAGCAGACTTGGTAGAATCATAGAATACCCTGAATTGAAAGGGACCCACAAGAATCATTGAATCCGGCTCCTGGCCCAGCACAGGACAACCCTGAGAATCACATCAGGTGTCCAAACGCTTCTTGAACTCTGTCAAGTTTGGTGCTGTGACCAGTTCCCTGGAGAGCCTGTTCCAATGCACAACTACCCTCTGGGTGAAGAACCTTTTCCTAATATCCCACCTAAACCTCCCCTTACACAGATTCATGACATTCCCTCAGGTCCTATCACTGATCCCCAGAAACAAGAGATCAGAAAGGCTTTGTTTAAGAACTTGGAATCAATGATAGATTTATTATTAAATTTAATAGTATTTTTTAGATCCTAAATTAGACCAGCAATAATACTATAGGGTCCTCTGTGCCATTTTGTCTTGCAGTAACATTGGTTGGGATTTGGGCTCTTATTTTGGTAAACCTATTGTAACTACAGAGGAAGCTCTTTCCCACAGGAAGGCGTGTCCCTGCTTACAGTGGAATCTAACTGTTGCTTTAAAAAGAAGCTGTTTTTTTATTTCCATTTATGCCTTCTACTCATGTTACATGCACTACAGGTTGCTTAATTGTCTGAAATTTTTTTGTGTCTGTGAGAGTAACAGGTTTTTTCTTTTATACTTTGGAAAATGTGTTTTCCTTTTTTTCTAAACGGAACACCTGCTTTATGTGATAGGAATGTATCCTAAGGAAATTCTCTCTACTTAGGGGAATTTCTTAGGAGAACTTCAGGGGAGTCTGTGTTCTTTAGTTATCTATATCCCTCCTAGACCTAACACTGATGCTTTTAGTTGTGGAATTTCCAGCTGTCTGTCTGTAACTGAAACGATGCTGAGTCTTTTTCTCGTGGATTACTATCCATCTGAGATTCATTGTGGTTTTGATCTTTTCAAATATGGATCATGACCAGAAAAATCACAGTTTACTATTTGTCCCTCTGCCTATCATTCTCTGGTGGTATTTATTTTATCCCTGTTTTCTTCATTAGGTGCTGCCCCTAAAACAGCAATGTGTTGTCAGAATAGCAGAAGAAGGTCCATGTGTAATCATGGAAAACTCTCATGGCCTGAAGTAAGAGACAGATACTTGCCAAAATGTGTTACTAAACAGGGGCGTAATTGAGAAACAGTTGAGGATTGCCTTGTGTTTAAGACTTACATAACTGTTCTGGTAATGGATATGATATCCTTTAAGAGAGATTAAGTGTTTCATAAAAGACCTGTTACGGAAAGAATTATATAAGGTAATAGAATAATGAGTAAACTTGTGTGTAATATATACATTTGTTTATAGCAATGCAACAAATTTGGTTTGCATCCTTGTATACAGGTAGAGCTATTGCAGTAGTACAGCTGTTGCCTATTAAAAAACTGCAAGACCTCATCACAATGCCAATATACTTGAAGGTGCAAAATCCATCTAAAGATGATACTGTGTCTTAGTCATCTGTGATGTTATGACTGTCTGAAGAGGAAGAGCCAGAAAGGAGAATAGCTTTATGTTATAGCTCAAAATCATCTTAGCTTATTTTTAAATAGGTTTAAAAGTGAGTGTGTTTAGCCAAAGCAAAAAATTGTGTGGGAGTTTATACTTCAGATTTAACCCTTTTATGCAGAAGTGTCCACAAAATGTTTGCTTTGGTATGGCTAAATTGCTTTCAGCTTTTGTTAAAAAGCTTTATGCTTCTGTTAAACCATTATGAATTTGAACATATGCAAAACTTAAATTTTATAACCCATTTGAAAGGCTAGGATGGAAGATGATGTCCTCTATTTCTTTGGTAGTGGTCTTTGACAATGAAACAAATGTCACGGGCACAAGAATTTTGTTGGAAGTAATTCTGTAAAAATGTCATCATAATAGGTGTAGGAATTTGTTTTAAGTAGTGTGGTCTTGATATGTCTCAAAATGCATTATTTAACCATGTACAGTAGACAACTGTGTTGTTCTTTTCAATTATTGGGAAAGTCTCTGAGCACCTCTGGAAAAAACAAGACTTGTTTATGAATTACCACTAAATAAACTAAACCCACTCTTCACCACATAAGCCTGTACACAGGAGTTTATGGCTTATGGGTAACAGTGCAGTTTCTCCTACTTGCAAATCCTCTGTTCTTCTGTCCCTCACTCATTTTCTCTGCAACTGAATTTGTTCTAGACAGTAACAAAGAGGCATGTTTTTCTATTTGATACCTTTCTTCTGGGACCCCAGGCTTTCAAAAATGGATTAAAAATGGTGCTTGAAGATAAAAACATCTTGAAGGTAAGGGTACATGGTGTGTAAGAACATTTGTAGTGGCAGAGGTCATATACATATATAATAATCTAGCTGCACCAAAAAAGTTGCAGTTGGATACAGGTTTCCTTGATAGCTCTATTGCTTCAGATCATATATGACTGCTGGTGTGTCTCAGACTGTCTCTTTCACCAGTACAGTGTCCTTCAGTGTCTTGGATACACAAGTACCCTTCAAATATTCTGGTTTGGAACAAAAGCTTCAACAAGAGAAACCTCAGGGCATTTTCTCAAAGAAGGTTTAACATTACTACAATGTGACAGTTGTTGAACCATGTAAATGTTTGGTTTTGTTCTAACTGGAAAGAAACAGCAGGCAAGGCTGATAGTGTTATTTAGAACCTTGTGGAGACCCATTTTAAAAGGTAGGTAAGATCTAATACTAGCAGCAAGTTTAACGTGGTAAGATGTTTTAGCTGGTCTTGTTCAAACTTGGACCAACCTGAGGCTACAGTGACTTCACAGGGGCTGGGTCAGATTGGGCTTTATATTCTTTCTTATTCTTTCTGCGCCTTTCACAAGTGTAGAAACAGATTCAGACTACAGGTGTCCAGTGCTGGGAATCATCTGCAGGTAAAAGCAGTGGTGAAAGTGAGAGAACAGGCCAGGTTATCACAAAAATCTCTTTCTGCTGGTGCTGGCCCTAGTAGTTGTGGTAATTAATTTGTGACTAATGGGAGGATCAGATCCTTCTGAGAAAGAATAAAGTAACATAATGGCTATGATCTTTCATAATGGGCACGGATATGTTATACATGGTTATGTATGACTTGTCCTTGCATGTATACTGACTTTTCATTTCATAGATATGACTGCCTATAGTAACTCCTCAAAGCTCTAATCTGGCCTATTTAGTAAGCTTTATAAGGCTGATTAAATATCAGCCCGTGTAAAGTCTTGACTGTATGAAAAAGGTAGGGCTGAAAATTCCCACCAGTGCTCCCAGCTGTACTGTCTAGAACATGTAACTCATACAGTGGAAATAATTAACCAGAACTATCCACCCTAGGGTCCAAGGTACACAGAATTGCACTCATTGTTTTGTTGCCTTGGTATGAGCTGCCTTGCTTTTCTTGCACTGATAGATCTCTAGGCTTAGAGGTGCAATTACTCTGATTTGTTGGCCTGAATCCTTTTAATATAGGTAAGCTACTGATGTGGTCTGATTTTGGCCACCCTGTAGTGTACATGATATTGTGGAATTAAGCTATCTCATCTTCTACTCTGTACTTCTGGAACAAATAGCTGGGAGATACTTCTGAGCAAATTCTCACAGATGCTTTTTTGAAGCACTTCTTAGAGACAGCTTCCCAGTATTGTTAAAATGGGAACAGGCTGTGTGCACAAGTGAGATTCTGCTTAAAAAAGGCATCAGTGGAGTTTAGAACTCTGGTTTACATGGGATCCTGCCTACATAATTTGAAAAATGTTATCCCTGGGTTTGGCCAGTTGTTTATTCCTTACCATAAGTAAACTAATGTAATTAACACACGATATAGAGAATGGCAGTGTTCTGAGGTTCACTGTCTTTCCCACTGATGTTCTTATAGTACTTAAACCTGTTGAAGTAACTTTTAATGATAAAGTTTGTGGAAGTTTGATACTATTTCACATTTGACTTCCTTAGGGGCAGGGGATGTGTCCCTGTCGGGCTATAGCAGCCTAAAAAGCTGCATAGTGAGCAGGCAACTGGCTGCTATCAGTGCTAATAGACCTAATATTGCCTTCTGTGGCACTTCTATGCTGCATCAGGAGGCTGGAGCATCCTCACACTCTAAAATCCTTGCCTGTTGTGTAAAATGTTGCAAATCTGTTTACTACCAAAAGAAATACCACAGTTTTTTCTAGAGGTGTGTGCTGAAAAAAATAAAGAAAATTTGACAGCTTGAGACTTCTCATAAGATAGAAGTCCATGCAAGGTTTAACCATAAAATGTAGAAGTGAAGAAGTCACTGTTGCTGTCTGATTCCACAGATCGATGAATATGCACTACTTTTTAGCATGCTGTGGGTTTTCTGCCCTTAAATCCATTAGTATGCATTAGACTTTGGACAAGGGATTTCACAGTGAAAGCTAAAACATTGCTTTCATTGAGGGAAAGTTTATTCTATAACGTTTTTCATTCAGATTAGAGTTTTTATTAATACTGATCACAAAGATGCTTTCATTTCTGTTTAAATATTTAATTATTTTCTCTTCTTATTTGGAAAGCATAGATTTTTTTTTTTTTACTAGAAACTCTCTAACTATCTAGGAGGTATTTCTACAGATTTGAACATCATCTTTGTTGTGATTTTGAGTAAAAGTAACTGACTGCTTGAGAAGGTCTATCCTGAGGTTCCTCTTCATCTGCATTTGGCCACTGAGAATGAAAAGCTAGAGAAGGTTTTAGTGGTCAGAAGTAGAATACAAAGGACAGTTCAGTAACAAGTGATGGAAACTTCCACTTTACCTAGTGATTTATGCTTATAATCTAGTGAAGGTCAGCTCTACCTGGATCTTCTCAAATTTTTTTTTTCTTTTCAATGAATTCATCGTTTTGAATTGTTGCAGTTCCTTTCTCCACATATGTTTCCTGCCATTTTTCAGCTGGTGGTTATAGTCTTCTTCCTTAGAAAATCAGTAAATGGACTGGCTTAGCACTTTCTTTTAGTAGGCTTAGCAAACACATGGCTTTTCTCCTAAAGAAGGCAGCAGTTATCTATTTGACTGGTGCCTCAGGGGCAGCTTTAGCATTATTAAGTCATATCACGTTCTTTGCTATTGGACAGGAATAGATTTTTTTTTCCACCAAAGACGTTACAGATAAGTTAGGAATGGAGGGGGAGGGAGGTTAGTCTTGGAATTTACCCTCACTATAAGAGGCCAGTAGAGGCCAATTACAATTCTGTGCTCGCTACTGCAGGGGCTGAGCTGGTGCTGCCAAGCACTGTGTGGACAGGTCTAGGTAGCACACGGGCAGCATGTGCCAGAAAGCTCAAACAGTGGCTCTTGCAGTAAAACCAGGCTGACCTGTAAACTCAGGTGGCGTTAGTGGGATTGTAGATGTCTGCACAGGATGTTGGCTTAAGGTTTCTCAGGAGATAGTAGTAAGGAGAAAAGGGAGAAGTCAGTGGGGATTTCAGGGGACCTGAATGGGAATCTGGGCTTTTGAGTAGTGGAGGAAGTCAGAAGGGTAGGTTGTTCTAATGACAGATAGCTCAGTCTCAGGTTTTGACTGTGGATGCACATTTTTTATTTTTTCCTCTCCATTCCCCTGGTGAGTGGATTCTCTTCCAAGCATTCCTTTTCCATTGGGCTGTCAGGGCTGTTCCTGCTTTTACTGCAAACAGGTAAAAAGGATAAAACCAGGATTAGAAACAAGCAAACACCATGACATGCAGTTGCTGCTGGAAGCTGTTGCCTGCTCTCCTTCTGGCTCTCTGTGCTGTCAAATATGAGTCTTACTGGCAAAATCAGGTTTTAGGCAAAAGGTTTATGACAACTTACATATTCTTTCATCATGTTTTCTTTATATTGCACAACTATTGTAGGGTTTGGATAAAAGGCAAAACCATAAGTATCCTGGGAAAGCATCAGTGTATGTTTACTCTCTCCTGTTACTGAGAGTACTGAGCTAGAAGGAGCTGTAGGCCCTCTTATGTAACTTAACAGCTTTAAGGAGTCAGATTACTATCTCTGCAACTGTATGCAGTCAAAATGTTGAATTGTTTGTTTTGTAGCATACTTTACTTCTAATATGCATCTCCACTGTCAAACCTCCACATTCTTTGCCTTGGATTAATGGATGTTGGTCATGGCATATTGATCCTTTCCATCACAGGCTGCTGATGCTCTGCAGTTTTCAATGACTACAGGTGCTTTTCTTCCACACTGTGTCTGCACATTACAGGAGTGTTTGATGCAGCCCTTGAAGACACCTTCCAAATGGAATGCCATCCTGAAGTGCAGGCAGCCATTGACTTCAATGAGTGATCAGTAAAGCACCTTCTGAAGACTCAGTTGTGAGCTGTGCTTTGCCCATTTTGAGATGCTTCTGTCAATTTGCTTTTTTTAAGAGCATGGCACTAAAAAGTGGTTGAATTGCTGCAGATAAGGACATTTTGTAACAATGATTTGGGAGACAGGTGTAAGCTTTAGTTGGCATCAGGGCTGGTATTTCCTAATAGCTCATTTGAAATTGAGATTTTGAAGAACCACAGAGCTTGTACAATAGAGGATATATACAACTTGGGTAAAAAAATGTTCTGGATATCACAGAATATTTGACTAATTCTGAAACCTAGTTTCAACAGAGCAAGTTGGTTACAATGAATCCAAGTCAGGCAGGGAAAAAGAGAACTTTTCTTGCCAGCACTATTAGAATGAAAAAATACTAGTGTAGTTCAGCAGCATTTGCCAAATCATTATTCTCTATTGTCCTTATTTTTGTTAATCTTTCAGATGGGGACAAGAGCTCCTAAGATTTGGGGAACGTAATCCTGATAAATAGACTATTTCATATGAAAGGGACCTACACTGAGCATCCAGTCCAACTGCCTGATCAGTTCAGGGCTGACAAGTTAAAGCCTGGTATTAAGGTCATTGCCCAAATGCCTCTTAAGCACTGGCACCTTAGGGCATTGACCACCTCTTTAGGAAGCCTGTTTCAATGTTTGACCACCCTCTCAGTAAAGAAATGCTTCCTAATGTCCAGGCTAAACCTTCCCTGGTACAGCTTTGAACCATATCCATGTATCCTGTCACTGGATAGCAGGGAGAAGAACTCAGTACCTCCCTCTCCCTGACTGGCTGGTGATGCCGTGTTTGATGCATCCCAAGGTGCCAGGGCACACTGCCAGCTCACACTGAGCCTGCTGCCAACCAGGTCCCTGTTTGCAGAGCTGCTCTCCAGCCACTCTCCCAATTTATACTTGTGTCCAATGTTATGCCATCCTAGATACATAATCTGGCATTTCAACTTGTAAAATTTCATCCCATTAATTGTAGTCCAATGCTCCAATCTGTGTAGATTCCTCTACAAGGCCTCTTGTCCCTCAAGAGTCAACAGCACCTCACAGTTTGGTACCATCAGCAAACTTGCTAATGGTGCATTTAACTCCTGTATCTAGATTGGCAATAAATATACTGAACAGAACTAGCTCTGAAATTGAATCTGAAAGGAATACCACTGGTATTCCTCAACTGGTGCATGTTGACAGCCAGATGTATCCTCTATTCATTAGAACCCTTTGAGCTCTGTCTGTCAGCCAGTTTTTCACCCAGAGCACCGTGAATCTGCTTATCTCACAGTTGGGCAAGTTGTCCAGAAGGATGCTCAGAGGGACAGTATCAAAAGCTTTACTAAAATCCAGAACCAGTGTGACCAGCAAGACCAGGGCAGTGATTGTCCCCCTGTACTCATACTGGTGAGGCTGCATCTCCAGTACTGTGTCCAGTTTTGGGGCCCCCACAAGAAGGACATTGAGGTGCTAGAGCGTGTCTAGAGAAGGGCAACAGAGCTGGTGAAGGGACAGCTGAGGAAGCTGGGGTTGTTTAGCCTGGAGAAAAGGAGGCACATTCCCTACAACTACCTGAAAGGAGATTGTAACCGGGGGGGGGGGGGGTCAGCTTCTCTTCTCTAGTAACAAGCAACAGGACAAGAGGAAATAGCCTCTAGTTGTGCCAGGGGAGTTTTAGATTGGATATTATAAAAGTTTCATCACTGAAAGGGTGGTCAGGCATTATAATAAGCTGCCCAGGGAAGCGGTGGTGTCACCACCCCTAAAAGTATTTAAAAGATGTGTGGATGTGGCACTTAGGGACACAGTTTAGTGTTGGACTTGGCAGTGCTGGGTTAACAGTTGGACTCAATGATCTTTGAGGGTTTTTTTCTAACTGAAATGATTCTCTGATTCTATCCTTTTGCTGGGATTTTTAATTGCATGACCTTATTTTTTTGGGGGGCCAGAGTGGTTGGGGTGGGGGTGGGGTCAGAAGACTTCCAAAGAAGCTATTAAATAAGGGAACTAGATGCTTAAGGAGACCTCAGTAGAGAGGTAGAATTTATTTACTGAAGAGGAACAATCTCTTTCCTACAAGAGTACTTTTTCTCCCTTCATACTAGTCTTGTTAACTTCCACAGTAAATAGGAGTGTTTTTGCACTGCCTGTTCCTGGACTTAAAATCTTTCTCAAAAGTCTGGATTAAATGCTATTTAATATTGCTATAAAAGCTACTCAGTGAAACCTGTAATTTGAACACAGCATTATCTTTATGTAAGTTTTAGAATTCAATATTGTCTCTCAAAATTTCTATTTTGAGAATTCTGTATGGCAAATCTAAGCCAAATGACATGCCTTCCTTAGTTTATTATCCTATTGCTCTGAAGACTAAAAGTGGAAAATGACTGTGTAATATTCGTGTAATAAGTATACCAGTGTAAAGCATTCTGTACTGACAGTTTTGCTCAAGGGATCATAGTTATGATGTTTAACTGTTCTTCTAGTTTCAGTTGTGATTGCTGAAGATGTTACTATCATAGGAGGTTTTTTTTTCCCTTTAGGTCTTTTAGCTCAGTTCTTAAGAATCCAACCTAGTTTCAGAGACAGATAGGAGAGAACTAGCATTAAATGCTGGAATAGGTGTATGTTGATTTTTGGTTTGTGTTTTTGTTGGTTGGTTGGTTGGGTTTTTTTAAGGAAGCAATCTCTCTTTCCAAACTTCTGCTTCTCTAACCACCACAGGTTTGTACACAGATGGCCCCAGAAGCTGAAAGCATACAGTAGCACTGAAAGTAAAGATCAGCATCAGGAAGTATGTTGTAAACTGCAGAAGAATGTGATGATAAGCTTTGTTAAAATTTTTTCTACTTTAATAACTGTCCTGGTTTTGGCTGGGAGAGAGTACATTTTCTTCTTAGGAACTGGTACAGTGCTGTGGTTTTTGGATTTGGTATGAGAACACACCGATGTTTTGGCAGTTGCTGAGTAGTGCTTATCCTAAGCCAAGGACTTTTCTATTTTCCATGCTCTGCCAGTGAGGAGGTGCACAAAAAGCTGTGAGGGAGCATGGCCAGGACAGGTGATCCAAACTGGCCAAATCAATATTCCATACCATAGAATGTCATGCCCAGAATTTAAACTGGAGGAGTTACCTGGAAGGGGGCCGATTGCTGCTTGGGGATGGGATATTGTGCATCACTTGTTTTATTGGGTTTTATTCCTCTCTTAGCCTCTCCTTACCATTACTATTATCATTATCATATATTATTATTGATGTTGTTATTGCTGCTGTTATTATTATTATATTTTGTTTCAATTATTAAACTATTTTTATCTCAACTTAAAAGGTTTACCTTTTCTTTCCAATTCTCCTCCCTGCTGTGAGGGGGGTTGAGAGGAGTGAGCACATGGCTGCGTGGTATATTATTGGTGGCTGGAATTAAACCATAACAATAACTGTTTTCATTTACATTGGGATATACAGGAGAATCCTGACGTATGGTTCTTGAGGCTCTTCCCAGCTTCTCTGCTTAATGCACTTGTTCTGAACGCTATGTGCCTCCTGCTGGTCCACTCATCTCTAATGGATAACTTGATGTCTGACCTATCAGCTGTAGCACATGGTTATTTTAATGCTTATTGGACTGTCCTGGAGATCACCTTGTGAGCACAAAGGTAGGTATGTCTCTGCTTGTTTCTCTGGTAGTGATTTGATCTAAGGCTCTAATGGATAAACGCTGGAGGACTGAGCTACAGCAGCTTCCTTTTCGCAGTGGTACACCCTCCTGTGCACTACATACCTTGTTTCCTGTGTGCAGCAGCAGAAGGGATGGTATCTGTATCTACCTAGCTCCCTTTCATATTAGTTCATTAGCAGGATCCACCTCAAGTTAGCCTAGTGGATGGTGAGTTGCAGCTGTTAAAGCATGGGCACGGTCACCTGCGCCTTCTGTTCACTCTCCTCAGAGCCTGAGAACAGCTGGGCTCAACAGGGGCAATGTACACGTGAGGAAATGAAGAGTAACAGGCAGGTGTGATGTGTTGGTACCTGGAGCTGAAGGGGTTGCTTTGTTTTGGTAAAACATGTTTAGTCCCCACATTTTGTTCTATTTTTCTCCTAATCTGTCATCTTTACTGCTGAGCTGTTTTGCACACACTGGGTGTTTCTGAGTAACGTTTGTTAACCAAAGATTTTTATTTCTGTAAAAGCATCACTGAGTTATTTGGTCTTCCTAATTTATTTTCACATATATTATTTAAAAGTAGCATTTTTCATCTTTCGTTACACAGAACCATTAGTAGTGCATGCCCAGATACCTTGGAGGAGCTGGATGGTGGACACTTCTGTAATTTTGAAATTTATTAATTTTCAATGTGGAAAGTGCAGGAAATGAGATTTTTGGGGAAGGAGCTTGACTTCTTGCACTATTGGAAAGAACATGTCCATGCAAAGCAAACAAGCAGTGGTATTGGTGTGGTCTTTCTCTGTCTTCTCAATGAAATAATCTTATGTGGGCTTGCAGTAACTATGTAAGACATTGTTGGTATTAGATTTGGGTGCAAAGTGCATGGTCAAACATCCTCATTCACCACAAAGAGACTGAACTAACATGATTAAATCCTTTTAGTGCCTCATTTTTGCAGTTGTAAATGTCTTGAAATATTTATTAGGGAAAGAGAATGAAGTTCTATCTTCATGAAAGAAATAGGGGTTTTTTCCCCCCTGGTTTAACAAAGCACTGAAGCACAGACTTGGATCCTTTGGGAATTACTTAAGAGCTCAGAGCAGTAAATCCCATTACTGAGGATTTAGAGATTAGATAACACAAGAGATCATAGTTGCTTCACAGATATAAGAGAAGAGGTCATATCTGAAAACCTTTTCTTTTTAGAGGAAAGCTGCCAAAAAAAGAAGATTGTTCATAGTTCATGAAAAAGAAATGAGCTGGACATGTTAATTTCCAATGTGCAATGCATGCAAAAGTAGCCATGACACAAGGGAAAAGAAGAGTCTGTTAAAGTGAAAAGTACAAATTTTGGTTTGCATTGGGCTATTTGTTTTCAGAATTTTTAAAGTGGTATTCAGGTTGTTGAAGACAATACCTTTGTAAATCCATTTATTCCATAAGATTAGCCAAGGAATTAATTTGAACCTGAGTATTTCAAATGCCATTTTGAAGATCTATTTAATATAACATCTGGCAATCATACTTTCTGCATTTTAAAGCTGTTGCCTTGTGAAGCAACTGCTTTAGAATTCTAGTATAGGGAGTAAAAGTAGCAATTTTCATCATCATTTCACTGTTAATAATTTTCCATTGTTTCTATATCTTGTGAGAAGATCACACAAATAAAAGTTTCTTCTGCTTTATTTAAATCTGCTTGCAATACATATATAAATGCAAAATATGGAGTGTGGTATAGTTAAATCTTGTCTATTACTTCTGTTTCTTCACTCAGTAAGTAAAAAGTTAAGGGAATCCTTTGCAAGTTGATGAGTTCAGCTAAATCCATTTTAAGACAAGAAAGAAAAAAACACAAACCTTTAGTTTCTGCAACTTCTGGTTTTCCAGCTAAGTCTGTATTATTTCCTTAAATCAAAAAGCCTTTATCCAGATCTGATTTCAGAATGAAGTAATAGTCACAATACTTACCCCCCTCCCCCCCATTTATTGTAGTGCTTTTTTATGGTTGTTTAGAAGTTTGTGCACCACTAAAATCTATGTTATGCCTTCTGTACACTTTGTGGAGCAACAGTTGAAAGGTACCTGGAAAATGCTTTCAGTGGGCTATTTTACTTTTTACAATGACCAGTTACAATTTACACTTGTGCTCCACCTTGGACCCCTGGTAAACAGCAGTCTGGTGCAATGAGCTTGACTTCACCTTGGAGCCAGTGTCAAACAACAGCAGCACTGGACTCCCTGTGCTTGATGACTCTGTTCTCCAGACGGGATCTGTTGTAGTTCCAATGCTACTGCAGCAGAAGTAATGGATCTCCTTGGATTCTGATACCTCTGCCAGGGAAAAATCTTGGAAATCTGAAGTATGTTATCTACTATGCTCTCTCCATGCTGGAGAACTGGAAGAGAGATGTCTGTTGCTGAAGCAGTACTGCAGCAAAGCCAAAGACAATAAATGCTCCAGGGCCATAAAGGTACCTTGCACTACTTCAGCTACTAAATTGGAAGGGGGATGTCACTCTTGAGTGAAAAGGAACCGTCTGTGATGCATCTGTCAGAGACTGAAATGGTTAATGATTTATGCATTCTAGGAGACTTTTGCAGGCTTTTGACTTGCATGATACCTCTGATGAGCAGTCGGGCCCCTCCCTCCCTCCAGTGCTGAAGGTGTGAAGCCCTGAAAAGGCAAGAAGCCGAGCTCGAGCTCGCAGGCTTTTGACTGTTGATACATCTGATGAGCAATCAGGCCCCTCCCTCCCTAAAGGCGGGAACCGGGCGAGACACAAAAAAAACTCAACACAGACCCAGGAGTTGTTGGAGGCTCGAGGCATGGCCCGTGATATAATAACTCATAACTTCTTAGAGAATGGGGGCTTCCCCCCTTCACCCCCAGCAGATCAAGGCCACCACTTCAACTGACAGACATGGAAGCATCGCTGGACCCCGTGGGCGGTGACTATATACATCTGTCCACTCTCAGCTTTTCTTTCCCTTACTCTCCCTTGCTCTTATCCTGCCTTTCTCTCCCCTATGCATTTTCTTTCCCTCCCCAAAGGTTATCTCTGTGTCACATTGTTGTATGACAGCACCCAAACTGCTAGCATGCCTGTTAATACAGAATTGTTAAAATAAATCTCGTCAATATATGTTTTCAAACACCGATTATTTAGTGTCGTTTCGCTTTAATCCACCCCAAAGGAATTATTGATAAAACCTGGGTTACCCCCTCCGCCCCCTTTTTCCTGGGGCGGGACGTAACAGCATCAAGCTCTTATTTGAAAGTTGTGGGAATGAAAGTCACTAGGCAAGAGAGTCTCCAAGTTACCATGGCTTCTTTGATTTATAGGCACTTGGAGAAGATGACCAGATCAGGAAAATAACTTCCACTACTCCAGGTAAGGAAGCCTCTCCTGGGCCCTTCTCTGTTCTTTTCTAGTTTCTGGACTGTGCTATCTGAGCAGAATCACCAGGTCTTCAGCCTTTTGAAAAAGGTAAAGTTAGTTATGCAGATATGTCTTCTATTGTGCCTCTGGGCTACAGAGATGTTTGAGTATGTCCTACCTGACTGGAGCAATGAACAGAGCTGTGCTTCCCTGGCCTGCTCTTGTTTCCTCTAGTCTTACCGAGTGACATCATGTCACACAGAAGAATGCTTTTTTTTTTTACTTCTCCCATTCCTCCAAACTTATGACACTCCCATGTAAACTATACTTACAAAACAAGTACACATACAGTTTCAATGAGACTTCATTAAAAATCAAATACTGAAGCTGGATGGATTACAGAGCCACAGTTCTTCTCATCTCTAGCTGTCACATGTTGAATCTCAGCTCCTGGATCAGGGTTTACAACACTGAACTTCAGCTTTGACTAGCATGGAAACATCCACCTTATCTTTCCCAGCTCACTGCCATATCCAGTTCATAATGCCAACAGATTTTGTGTGTAATAACAGCATCAGGATATACTTGATAAAAAGATGCTTTAGCTTTCCAGTCTGAGGTGCCTGTGAATCGAATAATGCTGAGTAATAACCAATAATGTTGAATAATGACTACTGAGGCAGTTACCTACTCTCTCATTCTCTTGTCTAATCAGGGTATTCGACCTCTGGAAGCAGATCAGGACAAGACTCTCTTTTTTCTCCTCTTGGAAACAGCAGCAAGCAAAAGTGAATATGCATAATCATGGAGTAAAAGCCAATCCTGTTCACTTGCCCTTATGGATCACTGCATCCACTGAGAGCTGGAGAAAGACAATGTGAATAAGGCTGATGAATGTAATTGTCACCACCCTTTCTTGGGCTCTGTATGCCCAGTTGCTGCAGTCGGTTTTCCACGTGCATATCTTGTTCCTCCCTGATAAGTTTCTGTATCCTCTAACAGGCCCCCATTAGTGGCAAAATATCAGAATCACCTTCTGGCTAAATGCACAGCTCCTACTAGGGCCAGATCATCCTTGTGGCCTTCAACATATTCAGGAGTGCTTGATTTCAGACTTAGGCATAATTGCATGTGTCTAATTTATTAACATTAGTAAAGTACTGCCAGTGGTCCACAGCAGCCACAAATAACAATGCAACACTCTTTTTGATGTAGGAGAGAATGAAGAAGAAAATAGAGAAAACAAAATAACAAGGAAATAAAAAGAAAGGCATCTCATTCATCATGATAATTTTGGAAATGTATGTTGACACTTTCTATGGTTTCTTGTGTCATCACCTGCAAGTGGTAGTTGGGTCTTCTGAATGAATAGTGGACATACCCTCAAAAGCAACTGACATTTTACCCACAAACCAGATGCAAAGCAGTAACCTCTGATCATCAGCACTTTGTTATCAAAACCCTCAGCTTCCCTCTTCAGGGTCTTTCAGAAACTGATAATCCTCCTTGCTGCTGAGGGGAGGAACCCAACACAAACTTCTCACCCTGAATGTCCCTGCAGTTTCCTGCATTTTTGGCATAATGTCTGCCAGCAGTAGTTCTTGTGGATGCAGACACCCAGTAAAATGGGTGTCTGTGCCTCTGCAACTCTGTCACTAGAAAAGAGCTAGTAAAGGAGCTACATGTGCTACAGTTCTAACTCTCCTTGTAGATTCATATCGTGTTGTTAAGTACTTCGAAATGCAGGCATGTTCTCATGTTTAGGACTTAAATTCAAAGAACCAAACCCATCAGTGTAGAGAAGCAAAGGTTCTAGAAGTGCAGAGCCATCTCATTTAAGTGGTGATAATTCACAGTCAGGGCTCTAGTACCACAGAGCACACCCCTGCAGAGTTGATTTCCCCAATGCACTTAAGGTAAAGCTGCGGTAGACAAATGCAGTGCAGTAGATTATACCAGATAACACATTCATGACATGTGACATGCATAAACTCTGTTGTTTAAATATAATTGCTCCTGAACCAGAGGTTTTCTTAATTGGCAGATGAGTTGGGACTACACACAATGCATATTAATCTTTATGAACATACAGCCTGAATTTTCTGCAACTTGGCTTTAAATGGCTTGGGGCATGGATTACCCCACACTGTAGGGTACAGCAGCAGTTAGGAAGATGGATGTGCATTATTCTGGTTAAACTGAACTGACAGTGGGCTGTTTTCAAGAAGTGCTGCCTCTGCTTTTTTCTGTAATCCTGTCTAAATTATTTATCCTTCCTCTGGATCTGTGCAAATTTTTAGACACAGGTTTGTAAGGTATGGCTTCCCTTTGCAAACACTGTGGTAATTCTTTTCCAGCGCATCACATCTGTATATCCACTCATCTGTTATTAGTGTTTCTACCAATGTGCTTATACAGACATCTGACTTACCGGCATGTTGTTTCCTCTATCTTCCTTGAGACCTTTAAACATTTACCAAGTTCCATCCCTGGGTATCAAGGCAGGTTTTAAGCAAGATACTATAGTTACTAGTTCATCTTCCGCTGTTCAGGAATTTTAGGTGAAATCCACCATGATATTTGTCTTTCAAGTATCAGTATTAAACATTTATGGACAATCTGATTTTGGGTACATAATGAATAGGTTTGGAATGGGAATCTCCATTTTCATGCTGAATGACGACAAAAAAGTGTTTTTTACAGGGCTGCTTTTGCATTCTGATCATCAGTTGGTTGACATTTTGTGCTCTTCTCATGTTTACAGATATCTTTTCATTTAATTGTTATATTTTTAAAAATATTATCAAACATAGTCTGTCCTGCCTTTTCTGTAACTTCATTCTTACTATTTTCTTTACATGGATGTGGCATTGCTTTCCTGATGGGATGCTTACTTCATAGCCTGTTCCTCTAACCTGTAGTCCTGCCAGTTTCCTTTCACTGTTTCTGTGCCCTTTTGCTGTGTTAGGTAATGTTTACTCTGTGCTGCTTATATGTTGTCTTGAAGTTGTCTCCATATTACCTGCTAGGACTGAATTTGCCTGGCTGCATCTTACTACTTTTTATCAAGCTTCCTTATTTATGTAATTCCCCTTTCTACAGCAGAACACAACTGTGGATTTTCTTATTGTTTCTACAAACCATGAACATGGCAGTCCTTGTTAAGGAACAGCTCCTTGGATAGTATTTTGAACAGTGCACTGCTCAGGGCCAAATCAAGGAGTGTATGTCTCTTCACATACTTCCTAAGCTGTTTCATCAATTTGTTAACTATGTTGGCTTTTGTCCACATAAGTGTTGGTTTTTTTACCAATAGAATAGAATATCATGGTTTTAAATAAAAAGCTGGGACAACTGTCTTTGCAGTGGTTCCTACAAGCAAACATGAACTGCTTATGCTTCTTTTGGGATTCACAACTTCATAGTGCAAAATGCTTCTCAGAAGAAATCTAAAAACCCATATGTGAAGTATTACTTAAAACCTTGAAGATCTTCATAATAAAGAAGTAAACAATAAATGGAAGCCTAGTGTTTTTTCCTTTGGGTTGCCTTTCAAAGAAAGTGTGGGGAACATGCAACTTTTTTTCCTTTAAGGTCTCCTGTTTGTGTAAACAGGTAGTTGATAAATTCCACAGATCTAATGAGATGATTGTTGTGTTCCATTGGCTAATTACAGGGGGAATGCTTCCCTGGTTCTAACAAAAGTATAGTATGTATTAGTTTGGGGTTTTTTCTGTTTCTTTTCCTTTTTCCTTATTAGCCCACTTTTACAGAGCTGCCAGAGAAGCTGTGTCAGCTGTCAGACATCCAGAAGCTGCAAAGGGAGAAAGCAGTAAAAGACTACAGGATGAATAAGGATGGTCTTTTGGTGAGAACAGCCATGGAATCTAGTAGAGAGAAGTTTCCATGTGTATCCATAGACAGGGGTGTATGAACAGGGGGGCAGAAGCACCTAAATTGATTTAAAAGGTGTATAGCAGTCCCTTCCCAAGCAAAATAAGGTATTAAGGCAAAACTGCTATTTACCACGCAACAAAATTAATGTAGGCCATGTCCAAATCTTGTAACACTTTTATTGGTGTATTGGTGAACACTGGTGAACAACATGGAATAGGGAAGAATGGAAGAAGTCACCGTGCCAACCAGACT